AGGTATGATAGACATTGTGAAATGACAGGAAAACGCTCAAGGGTAAAGGGCAACTGGGATGTGGGAAAAGAGAAGGGAAAGAAGGAGAAATTTTGTATGTATGTATATACAGGATAGTTACATAGTTAAACTACTGTCTTCTATTTCCTTGCTGAAAGAAACTGTTAATGAGTCCTTGATTGATCAATATTGTATGTCTCTATTTGTTTTCATGGGAAACCACTTTGCAGATATCAATATGTAATACAACAAGCATTGTTAATTTCCTACCACTTTGTTTGTAACTCTGTATTGTCTGTACCGTTCTTTTGCTATTTTGTAAAAGGTTGTCTATCTGTTAATGTTTTCCTCCTTTTATTTAAAAAAAAAAAAGAAAGAAAGAAAGCAGGATTGGGCAGAGAGGGTGAGTTCTGGTGCAATCTGTACGGAAACTTTACCTGGCCCTACAGCAAGCTCTGAAGCGGGATAACGCTTCATAATTCTAGGCAAGGGGCCTGGGCCTTCATTCCTCTCTAAACTGACAAGTCATAGAATATGTGCTGCTCCAGAAAGGGTCTGTGGTGCCAGGCAGTGACATAGGGGGAGGTTCTGTTTGTTTTGTTGGTACTGGTGATTGAAACCAAGGCCTTCACACTGAGTTACATCCTCAGCCCTTTAAAATTTTTTTACTTATTTTTTATTTTGGGAAAGAGTTTGAGTTGAGCAGGCTGGGCTTGAACTTGCTGGATAGTGAGTTTGAGCCTAGTCCAGGCAATTTAGTGAGACCTTATCTTTAAAAAAAATAGAGTATGAGGATATCGCTTCTGGCTCAGGGCTGTCTGAGATCAGGTCCCAGTACCACAGGGAGGAGAAGGTAGGGGAGAAGAAAAGAAAAGATAAGGGGCATGGCTTTGGGCAATGTGATTAATAGGTAGAGCCCCCTATAGGGCCTATAGTCGAGGCCTATAATCCAGCAGTATCCCTGGATAATAAGTCTTTTTTATGAAACAGGGTCTCACTATGTAGTTCAAGCTGACCTCACTATGTAGCTCACTTTCTAGGCTGGCCTTGAATTTGCAGAGATCCTCCTGCCTCAGCCTCGTGAGTGCTGAGATTACAAGCATGTGCCAGCACATGCCACCATGCCTGGCTAATAAATCCTTTTCTCCTGAAGGGAAATCTGGGCAACACACAGTGCCCACCCCACTCTTTTTCTCCGTGTCTGTCTTGGGAAAGGACATGGGTATAACCTGGTGTCCTGTGGCTAATGGGTCATTACGAACAGGGTTCACAGAGCTTGCAGTGAGAGAAGTTTGAACTACACGATTCTTACATTTGTCTGGGCTTTGGAACCCCTGAAACTTACTGCTATTTATTTATTCATTTGTTTATTTTTGTCTTTTTGAGACAGGGTTTTGCTTTGCAGTTCAGGCTGGCCTTGAGCTCACTTTGTAGCCCAGGCTGGTCTTGAACTTGTAAGGCTCCTCCTGCCTCAGCCTCCCGAGTGCTGGGATTACAGGCGTGCACCACCACACCCAGCTTCCTGAAAGTTATTGTGAGGCTTCCAGGCTACTGGAAAACAAGTTAGAGAATGGAAGAACAGAAGGGTAGTTGCTGTTTAAAGATTTAAGGCTTCTGCAGCTTCTGCTGCTACTGCCCATGGGCGTCAGGTGTGCTGAGTGGTGGGCAGAGAGGTACCATGTGGGCTGCTGGCTGGGGTAGTTTAGTTTCCCACTAATTTGGAGTCATTTTAATTAGCATTCATTTGGGACACCTGTGTTTCAGGTGTTAAGAAACCTGAACAAATTGTACCATGACCAGCCAGTCTTCAGCTGCCTGAGAAACTGCGAACTAAATGCCCAGGGCCATAGCCGGCAGCCTAGAACTGGTGGGAAAGGTCTCCCTCTTGTGGAAGTTTTAGGAAGTACTAGCGCGTTAAGAATGTTTAACCGCACAGACCCAGAAAATAAATTGTTATGTTCTGATAGGTGAGACTGTACGCGGAACACCTGCAGCAGATAAAGGGAATTTTAGAATCAGGTTACCTGGATTAGAATCCTGATTCTGCCACTCACCAGTTGTGTAACTCTGGACAAGACACGTCACTTCTGAGCTTCAGTTTCCTCCTGTGTGACATGGAGATATAAATAGTACAAGCTGAGTGTAGTGGTGCATGCCCGTGATGTCAGTACTCTGGGAGACTCAGACAAGAAGGTCACAAATCTGAGTCCAGCCTGGACACAGTAGCAAGACCTTAGCTGAACATATTGAAAGAGACTGGGCCTGGTGGTGCACTCTTGTAATCCCTGTACTCAGGAGGCTGAGGCGGGAGGATCACTGTGAGTTTGAGGCCAGCCTAGACTACACAGTGAGACAACGTCTCACACACACAAAAAAAAGTCAACTTTTTTTAAACATATATAGAAAGGGCTGGGGAAGTAGCTCAGCATGAAGGCCCTGAGTTAAAGTCCCAGCACCTAAAAAGAAGCAGCAGCAGCAGCAGCAGCTGGGATACTTGTTAGCAGAAGAGCCCCTCTTCTGTAGGCGTCCCCCAGCCCAGGAGAGAGGGTGGGCAGGGTAACCTGCCTGTGGCCGGTCACTTTAGGGCAGCCTCTCCTTCTGCTCTCTGCACAGTCTGAGGACAGATTCATTTTCTCCAAACAAATCCAACTTCACATCCTGGGTGAGTAACATAGCTTTTCCTGTGCTGCTATGGTTCGGAGGTGCTTGGCTGTACGCACTCAAGGTGTGGTGTGGGAGCCTGGGCCCCAGCGGAGTGGTACTGAATGATGGTGGGACCTTGGAGAAGGGGGCTTGGGTCACAGCTGCCCCCTTGAGGGGCTAGTGCTGGTCCTGCAGAGGGGATGCGGTCGCCGACGCTCCCAGGGAGCTTGTTGTTGTCCCAGAGTGAGTCTGGCCCTTTCCTGGTCTCCGGCTTCCTCTGCACATGTGCTTTTCTAGGCTACTTGCTGACCTCTCACCTCCTCTGCTCCGAGATGCCATCTGTCCTGTGTGATGTACCCAGAGGGCCTCGCTGAAGCCAAACAGTTGGACCTGCCCGGTTGTGGGTGTTTACCCTCCAACCCTTTTCTTTATACCACACCCAGCGTCACATAGTTTGTGACAGCAACACAACCCCCCCGGAAAACCCCTCCATCAAATACCTGTTTCCCCCTCCGAAGTGTTGCTCCAGCTGTCTTCTCTCACTTCCTCTGTGTAACCTCGAAGACCTTGGGCTGTTTCTTTCTCTTAGTCTGTTTGTTTTTCGTTTTCTCTTTTGTTCTGAGACAGTCATCAAGATGACAGAGTAGGAAGCCCCAGACCCTCCTGCCCCACGGACACATAAATCCAATGTAACATTTCAGTGCTCGAAGGGTACTTTTACATAAAGAATGTTTCCTTCCTACCCCAAGCATCTGAGCCGGCCCCTGGCGAGGAGGACCGGCACGTCTTGTTTTGAGTGTTCTTTGGAATGCTTCTACCACACCTAAAACACGCTTCATCAGTAAGTGTAGACAGTAACCATACCCAGAAGATCAGCTGAAAGCCTTTGGCCACCCACCCGCTGGATGGGAAAGGTCATGAAGGCAAGCACCATGGTTTTCACCTGGGTGTGCGCCCATCGGGGAGGGGAGGGAGCGGCACGATAGCCACTCCTAGCGTGGTATCTTTCTTACCAGCTGGAGGCTGAGGTGTTGCAGAGCTCATTTCCCAATCCCACTGCAGCTTCGGGGCCGCTTGGCCCACGCGCACGAACTGAGTCAGGTGTTGGATAAGAGGAAGACGAGTCCCAGGGTGCAGATCTGGTACATTTTCTCTGGGAAAGTGGAGCAGAAGCCTTCCTCTCCGTGAGAACTGAGAAAATGCAGTTGTAAACAATAAAATGTAAAAGCAGTGCTGTTTTTCACTATCAATAATTGTGATTTATCTTGAAGCTTTTGTGAGTTTTTTGTTTGTTTCTTTGTTTTTTGAGACTCACTTGCCCAGGCTGGCTTTGAACTTGCAGGGTTCCTCCTGCCTCAGCCTCCTGAGTGTTGGGATTACAGGTGTGCACCACCACGGGCAGCCTTTTCTTTCTTTCTTTCTTCCTTTCTTTCTTTCTTTTTAAATTTTTGCATGTCCTCTTAGAGATTATGGTGGGAAAACTATTGTCCTTGGACCAAATTTGGCCCACTACCATTTTTGGGGTAAAAATCTGTAAACTAAAAATATTTCCATGCTGGCATGGTGTCGCACCCCTGTAATCCCAGCACTCAGGAGGCTGAGGCAGGAGGAACCCTGCAAGTTCGAGGCCAGCCTCGGCTACAGAGTGAGTTTAAGGACAGCCTGAATTATACAGTGAGACCTTGTCTAAAAAAAAAAAAAAAAAGCTTAAAATAAAAACAAAAATAAAATAAAATAAGAGGAAGATGATAATTATTAAAAGAATTAAAAGAGCAAAGGGGGGAATTTGGGGAAAGAACCAGAAACTCTTACAATTTTTTTAATCTCAGGAAAGTTAGGATTATACTAATATAGAAATACAGATGGAAGCCAAGTGTTTGGAATAGTGTGTTTGTCTGTAACTGGATGTCTGTTTATTTCCAAACATTTTAGGGGGAATAAAAAAGCGGCCCAGCTGGACGTAGTGGCACACACCTGTAATCTCAGCACTCTGGGAGGCTGAGGCAGGAGAATCAAAACTTTTGTCCTAGTCTGGTCAATTTAGTGAGGCCCTATTTTCAAAAAAAAAAGAAAAGAAAGAAAGAAAGAGGACTGGGAATGTTTCTCAGTGCAAAGGCCGTGGGGTCGTTCCCAGTACTGGGGGAGGAGACACCCCATAGCGTGGATATCCTCACGGCAGGCCAGGCTCGGGGTGTTACTCACATCCCCACTCAGACCCTGGGACCCAGGGCGCAGGCACCTCTGGTGGGGAGGCGGAGGTGGTGCGGAGTGGGAGGTTTGGAGCAATAAGGTAAGAGGACAGTGCCTGCACTGCCGGGGGTTGACCCAGCAGTCGGCCTCACCTGCCTCACCCACAGGAGGAAGAGGCACAGAAGTCAGTCCCGGTGGGACCCCCGCCCCCCCACATTCCCAGGAGGAAGCTCTCCCGGCCCAGCTGCCTCCGGGTTAACTAGGATGAAGGTCTCCAGTCTGTCCTGAAACACAGCCGGCCCGGGACGCACTGAGCGCTGTGCATGTGGACACCCCGCTTTCACCGATCCCGAACGCTTGTGAGGAGGCCAGGTCCTCCCCACACAGGCATGGGGAACACCCCAGCGCACAAAGGTGAGATGCGGCCCTCAAACCCGGAGAGGTTCACATTTCTTACAGTCTCTGGTCTCTTAGAAGCTAAGCCTTGGAGCTGCTTCCCAGTCAGAAAACAAGCATTTATTTATCTAGGAAACCAGCGAGCGTGGCCGTGCATGCACTTTCGTGTGCACAGGAGCACGGGGGTGTGGATGGTGCCGCTCCCCTGTCCCAGCTCTCTGACCTCAGATCCTTCGGGCCCATCTTCCGTTCTCACTGCTTATCCTCTCCCGGCTGCAGCCTCCTGTCCTCGTCTAACACGCTCTAACCTAACATCACGACAAGTCTCTCAGAAGCCCTCAGCGTCTGTTTGCACCGGGCCGAGCGCAGGGCCCAGATGTCCACAGTCATCCTCCCTTTCTGCTCCCGCAGCAGGTGGCTGAGGAGCCGGCCCTGGGATAACGTGAGTCATCATCCCCATCCGCGCAGGCAGCTGAGGCGTCTGGCCGTTTTTCCTGTTTCTCTGGTTATCTCGCTCTATCTTTTTGCACAACGGTAATTTTGTAACTTTGCAGATGTCTTCATATCTCTGTGCTTCTACCTCCACACCACCCACCGTCATCTAATGGTTTTGCCTTGTGTTAGGGCCAGCCAGGCACACATTTCCTTGTTTTGTTATAACAAGTTAACAAGTCCCTTTTCCTTCTGCTGCCTCCTGGAGGCCACAGCCAGCGCCTAACCCTATGCTGTGCGTGTCTCCTCTTACCCTATTTTATCCATGACGAAATGGTATAGAGATTTGAGTAACCTACCAACGATCTCACATCCAGTTCCCAACAGAGGAAATGCACCTTCTTCTATGACGGGCTGGCACTTTATTTTTTTAATTAAAAAATTTTACTAGTACATTTTAGCTATACATAACAATCACATTCTTCATAGGGAATTTGTACCTGTACGTGATCTATCTTGCTTCTTTTCTTCCATTCCCCTCCCTTCAACCCCTCTTTCCCTTCCTATTTACAAAAGCTTTGTTTCTATTTCTTTTCCTTCTTTTCTTTCTTTTTTTCTTTGTCAGAGGGGCTGGCTCTTTAAATTGCTCTGATCTCCAGCTGGGCGTGGTGGTGCTCGCCTGTAATCCCAGCACTC